ACTACATCCATCGCTTCAGGAGGACTGCAGCCAGCATCTTATCGGACTGCTACTGCCACCCTAACAGGGTGTCAGGTTGTATTTCTGACTCCGTCAGTGTAAACCAGTGGGTTGGTTTTTTTTTTCCTCTGCCTTGAGTTATATTTATATATATACATTAGTAAAGAATTGTTATTCCTATTCCCCATATCTTTGCCTGAAGGCCCGTTAATTTCGAAATTATAATAATTTGGAGGGAAGGGGGTTGCATTTTCCATTTCAAGGGAGGCTCCTGCCTTCCTCCGCAGACACCTGTCTTTCAAACCAAGACAACTGGGTAACTTCAGTGATTTGTTTGGTGTTTTACATCTCAGACTGTATGTCAAACCTACATTTCATAGATGAGCTATCTATCTTATCTGCTCTACACTATCCATGTGTTCAAAACAATATGATCAGAATTACAAGTTTACATCCTCAGAATGTGATCTCACCCAGTTTATTTAGGCAACACCATCCACTAGATACAAAATACGGAATGCCAAAGTATGTTTTCTTTCTCAGGCTCTAAAACAGGGGTTGAGGATTTGATTTTTTTCTTACTCTTTTCACACTCTACGCCAGCCTTAGCAGAAACCTCTGTCTCAAATGACTGTGATCAACAGCAGGCATTATTCTGAGGAAGGCAGAAATGGTGGTACCTGTGCAGCAATAACTCCGTGTAACTCCATCTCTCAATTGGATGCCATACTACCATTTTGGTTACTGGACTGAGAGCAATACATCTAAGAAGCCTAGGAAGGTCAATTTTTGCCAATTTCTCATTCAAATGAACAGCCTCATTTAAAACATACTGGTGACAGTATCTACGAAAACCCATAAACACCAGCAATCACTATCTGGGGCACTGCAAAACTGCAAAGAAGTTCGTGCATGCTACACACAATGCTCATAAAGATTATTCTGATTCTTTCTAAATGTAACAGAAAGTGAAATTCAGTGTTTTACCTGTGAGGATCTTTTGAACTGGGAATGATGTGTGCACATTCTCTTTTACTGAAGACCTCTTCTATCCAAGATTTGGGGGACTGAAAAGACATTTAAAATGTAATTGTATTCCTGAACTTAAGAACACAATGCCAAAAATTACACTATAATGTATATATGGCTGTATACACATAACACAACAGAATGATTCCCATCATGATGTTAGATGAAACCAAACCCCGTAAATTGAAGCTACAGCTCTGAACAGTCCCAGCTCTTCATCCCCAAGCTTTACACAGCTCCACAGAAAGATCAATATTAAAATTTATTCCCACCCCTCACCAATAAACAAGAAGATTATTTAGAGGATCTGTCAAACACACGTACAATAGCAGAAGAGGTAACAATGAATCAGAACAGCTTAAATGACTGCACTTTCCTTCTGCCAGAAGACCAGCAAATGGCAATCGTACTAAAGCTATGAGTGTCAAAACAGGCAAGATCTTCTTTTACCTGAAAGAGGTGGCTGATTCCTTCTTTTATTATTCTTAACAGAGTTAAGAATAGATTCATCCTGGGTATATGTTTCCTGACCTAGGACCACAGTGAAATGCAAAAGCAGGGACCAAAGACTAGATCTAGAACTTAGAGTGTATGCCAGCTGGGTTTTTTCTACTGGCCTCCTAGGACACTATGAAAACTGTCTCAGTGAAGCATGTTGCACCTGAGTAAACTGAACTGTCACTGTGATATACAGATTTTTTTTCAAAGAATTTCACTGGGAGTGTTTGAACATCTTTCTTTTCAGGTCTATCAGGATCAAATTCCCTGAAAGGAATGATAGTTTTTGGATGCTGGACTTTGAAAAGTCTGGGACTGAATTTAGTAAACATTGGAAGCAAAGGGGTTTTTTTTGTCTTGTAAGGAAACTATGCCCACAATGAAACATGAAATGGACAGATGTTTTATCATAAAGAGTAAATATAATTATACCAACCATTATTGTCTCATTGTTTCTCACATGCATCTCTATCTATTTGTTGTGTAGTTTATACATAGACAGCAAGCTCTCTAGGAGAAGTAACAGTAGGGTCCTGGTTTATGATTAGGCATACAAGGCAAACAGTAATCAAGTAATAAATATTGAGTCCTTAGTCACTCCTCGTGTTTAAAAATTATTGTTCCTCTGCAAAAGGTCTACCTTGTAAAGATACTCATGGTAAGTACTTGTTTTCATATTTGTTTGTAAAATGCGTCTTTTGTACAATGGCGTGGAAAAGAATTCAGTTCATGAGAATGACAGTAATTCAACTTAAGAATACTGCTAGGGGCATTTTATGGAGGGAGTTCAGCAATAATTCTTATAAAAGTGAATACCTCTCTTTTATTTCCTGAATGGAATTATGATCTTTAATAAAGCAGGCCCATTTGAGGTTTTTTACTTCAGCTTCACATCCCTAAACACCCCCACATAATCTCCCAGCTAGTCACGCAGTTATGGAGGACCAGGAGCTACCTGAGCGAACTATCAGCTTGTCTGCAGGTAGGGATCCAGCTTCCACGAAGACTAGTGAGAGTCTTACCTTTGGTTTTAACGTACTCTGAAACAGGCCCCCATGGCCAAATGTGAGAGAGATTATTAAAAAGCAGTTTGCTGGTATCAATGTGCATGTGTATTCTTCTGGGAGCAACTAATTGAATTGTGTCTGGGTGAGCTTTGAATGAAGGAGTAACAGTGTGGAAAATCCTCAGGGCTGGACAAACAGGCAGGCAAGAAAATTAACTATCTTAGAAAGAGACCTACTAAAGAAAATGTGCAAAAACTGAATCCAGAGGAAAACCTTGGAAACAGTAAAGCAAGTTTCATTACCTGAGGGCAAGTACACACTACTCTCAAAAACCTTCCAGTAGTTTTCTCCTTAGTAATCAGCTGTTTCACGCTTCCTAAACCATTTTATTCTAGTGCAAAACCAGTGAAATGTTTATTCAAGTAAAAGAGTGAAATGTTTCTCATATTACAATACCCTGGGACCCTGATTTTTCTGAAACCCATTACTATTTCTGGTAATTGGTTTTCAATCAGAACTAGGGAACAAAAAATCTTTTTATGTTATGGGATGCCTTGGATAAGAATGAATTTCATTAAACTGTTCATTAACAGGAGAGGGTGTGACAGAATGGCCAAGAGGCTGACAAGCCTTACAGTATTTGCTGAGGCAACATGCTCAGCCTTGTGAGAGAAGAACAACATCCAGCTGCTGTCACTTTAATTTAGTAAGAGCACTAATAGTTCAAAGAAATTTTGAGCAAGCTGTTGGCATTGCATACTCTCAGGTAGCTTCCCTTGAGCTACTTTACCTCCAGCATGACATATTCTGGAAATCAAGCGTTATCTGTGTATCTTTCCAAATGTGAAGGCCAGCATTGGAGATATACAGGGAAGCACTGCATCAACCTAGGCACCAACAGCAGAACATGCTGTCAGCTGAGCAAGGCACTGGCACTCAGGTAATCCATATGTGAACGTACTTGAAAAGGGGTGTCAAAGAAGTTTTTATCTCCAATGCTCAGTGTTCCTCATCATAAAGTTACACAATACAAGACAAAACACAAATCAATAATTTTAAAGGGAGGAGAGGTCATCTGGTACAACAGCTGTTTGCTGTCGTTATTTCAAACCAAAATATAACTTAACAGTCCTCAGTGATGACAAGGCACTGTGTGAGTTGAAGTTACAACATCCAATATCGGAGAGAAAAGGCTTCTCTACTATCAGCTTTTTGAATATCTAAGCTGTCTACTAAAAAACTTACGCTGTTTTAAAAAATTCTCTTTGTATATATTTTGGAGGGCAGTTGGGGGTTAAGACAAAAATATCAATGCTTAAAATTATGGACATTTTGTGCATCCTTTTTCAAACTGGTCCAAAAGCATCTGTGTTTTTCCCCCGCTGAGGCAGTAAGGGCAGCAATCAACACACACCATAGCTCATCAATCCAGTCTAATCACAATGGATCAGGCTCAAGGTCCAACAATGCCAACGGGGAAAAAAACCCTATAGCTTTGGATCATATGCCATGAATCTAACCTTGCTACTATAGAGGCCATTCACAAAACTCCCATTTATTTCAGATGAACAAGATCTCTGTGAAATTTATTTAACCTTTGAATCTTGAAGCACCAAGGATGCACCTCGCCCAGTGGCATAAAGACTCTGCTAGCACAACACTCCTATCAGTTAACTCTACTTCAGAATTCTCAGTAAATAGGACTGAAAACAGTGCAATTGACACTGGGAGTTTTCACCCTGCTGTGCAAAGAAACATAGTCTTCCCATACAGGTATTTCAACATTAATCTTTGCTTATTTACATAAAGAGTATGCTGCACTCTTTCACCTCCTCGCTTCCTGTAATCTTTACATTTAAAAAAGCAGCACTTAGATAGCACATCAACTATATATGATCCTGATGAAGCATGGAACTTTAATATTTATTTTCACCTCAAATGATAATGATGTGAATAGAGCAGAAAGTATCATTTGCAAAATCCACCATTTTTTTCTTTAATGAAATTCCGGAACAGATGGTACTGCTTAAAAATGTATGTATTGAAATTCCAATCAACCATAGGAAAAAATAAAACATAAAACTGTATTACTGTATTTCATCTTGTGAAGCACAAATTTCAAACCTGAAACACTGTGAGATGCAACAGATTTGCCATTATTCTTAATTTTATACAAGGTGAAATCTTCACTTAGTATGTAAAATTTACACCACAAAGATAACACTCAATTTTTAATCTAAGGCTTTACTTAGGTTTCTAAGCTAATTGTATAACCAGGAAAAGGGTTCTAAACCATGCTTTTCACAGTCATCCATGACTTCAGGGCTTGGCAAGTAACAATGAAAAGAGGAGATTTCTGAACTGTTGTTTGATAGCTCTTGGTTCCTAGTTTTGTAAAAGACCTCTGTAACATGTACATCTCCTTTCATAAAACTGTGGCTAACATTTCAAAAATCTCATCATTTAATTAAACTTCAACAGTAAATTAAAATTTCTCCCGTCACTGCAGTGAGGTACATACACCTCAGTCAGCACCCATATACTTTCTACCACCAAACCCTAAAGGAGACAAAAATACACCTACATGTTCCTTTTGACTGGCAAATTTCTGTTCTGATATACAGAAGACCTGAAGCCAAGCTTATATTGCAATTTTCCTTCCAATTTTCCTTCCAGAAAGTCCCAAGGTCTTTGTTTGGGAGTTTTGCCTTCTCATTTCTCGCCAGTCTGAGGATTAAGATTGCTGCTTACACTACCCTGCCACAGAAGAGGCTTTGGAGATTTCTAGACTGATTTAGTCAATGGACTGGCAAGAGTTTGGCTCTGAAATTTAAGGCACATGAGTAGTTTTTAGAAAATTGCTTTTAATCACTTCTCCAATATCTTTAATGTCTGAGATCCTTGCATAATATGGTATTAAGGGGACACTGTCAGGTCAAATTTGGTTAAACATAAGTAATGTTCAAAACCAATAATGTTTCCAGAAATCAAGAAATAGATCAGAGCATAAAATTTAGAGAAACACCTGCACCATGCATTTCTTTCAAATCCTTGCTGACAGGCAGTGAGAGCAGAAAAAAAACTAAAACCCCAGCCTAGCACAAAGGTAATCCATCCTCCAAAATCCTGGGGTGTCATCAGAAAGGTGAGTGACCATGCCACAGTCCCACAGGGGTGATGGAGCAGGTACGCAGCGCTTGGCCAAGCAGTCTGAGAGAACAGGGTGACACAGCCCTGCGATCACCTGCTATACTGGTGCCCACAAGCACTACACCACTCACCCATCCAGTGCCAACGGGTGAATGCTTCAATTTTTGCTGCTGCTTTTTTCTGCCCCAGCCCACCCTACCCCCTCATAAAGGACTTTGGCGCCAGAGTCAAAGCCTTTAGATGCACTGCACCAATTAAACACTGATAAGTAGCAGCTAATGTGCATTTGTCCTGCTCCGGAATTAGCTTTACTAAACCAAGATCTGCAAGAAACATTCAGCCCCTTCAAGACCAGACAATAAGCACTGTTCATTGGTTGAGTATCAAACTCAGGAAAACTAGGTTACACTGCCAATACTAAGCAACAAATTTTTAGTACCATTAGCTGTACTTATGTCCCCTTTGGGGTGAAAGGTACAGATATCCATATTTTATAATGCAACAGCGTGCTGCTCCGGACACTGTTCCATTCCCTGCAAAAAGAAATTAAAAGGTACACATCTCTGTGTCAGAGTAATTTCACCCATTACTGAAATATAACCGTTTATTGGACAAAATAGCAGTGACTGCCTTCAATGACACACTGTAGATCCAGACAGGGGCAGATAATGAGAAATCAGATAATGATTTTGCCAGTTTGAGTAACAGATTAGTTCATTTAGGCAAAGTACAGTTGTGCTGGAAACTAGCCAGAACAATCAAGTTATAAGTTGCTTACTGAAGCAGCAACAAATTTATACTGAAAAAAGAATGCAATAATTCCTATCTTGTGTCTTTGCCAAAACACTAGAAGAGCTGAAAAGTGCTGCCAAGCACAATACATCAGCTCTGCACACATTGTGTGTGTAGTGAATCCACTACACACACACACACTTTTCTATGTCAGTTCTCAAAAACCTGTGTTTTCCTAATGATCTTAACTATTAGAAACAGTATTTTTGCATTGCTGAGCAGGTTTGGCAGAATCTTAGGAAAAAAAAAAAAAAAAAGTATAGTTATGCATCATATAACTTTTCTTCCAGTTAAGAAATTATTTGCTACCCTCGAAATGATGAGATGAAAGCAAACACTCATTAAATAGCAACAGATAACCCTGGGCCTAATGGATTTGCCTCAGGACTCTGGTATACTTACACAGTGCCTATAAAGAACCTTTACTGCTGATAGCAAGAATTAGAAACACTGAGAGATATAAAACTCATCTTCAGTGCCTGGGAAGGAGGGAGACACCATTTTCAGGTGAAAGAATACCTGTGAGAAACCAGGGTAGCGCAGTGTGTGACCAACTTTTATTCAAATACACAATGAGGGGAGGGAAAGAAGAACTTCCCCTTATTACAGCCACTGCAAGAATCCAGCCTCTGTGTTCAGCACAGTATCCTAAAATATCTTAAACCCTTTTAAAAATTAACTAAACGTAGAGCAAGTCATTTGCAAGGACACTAGATAGCTGAAATGCAGCCAGAGTTCTTGCAAGCTAACACTCAAGACTATTTCACAAGAGCTCAGCCTTATAAGCACACTGGTATCACTTGAACCCTTACCCCTGGAAACTCTTCCTGAGCTATAAAAGCTAAGGTGGACTTGCAGGTATCATCATTTTAGGCATAATAATTCTTAAATGAAAAACAGGGCTTCAGCAGTATTTCTGCATCCCATGGCAACTGGTAAATTACTGCCAGCATTAAAGAGATTTCCAACTTAACAGGCTGTCTTGCATAAGCTTTTCTGGGCAGGAACTTTCTGGTTCAGCATCCATTACATGCATGCTTATGGTATGAAGTAATATAACAACTGATTGTAATAAAGAACACCACTGTGGATCCACGTAGGGTAGAAGTGCATTGTGAAACCCCAGGGTCATATGCAATAAAATACGAACCCAATGCAAGGTTTTCAACAAACTCAGGTCTTCCAGAATTTCCCTGTGTTCAGGCTACCTGTTAGAGGACAACAGCCTGGCTTTGTAACACGGACATGCTGTGGTTCCCCTCACCTCCATCACTACCGTACATCAGTACATCTGTTATTAGCTAGCATCTTTTGCTTTTCCAATCTTTCTTACCTACTCCTTTGCCCAAGTGTTCAGGACTCTGCACATCTGTGGAAATACTGCATTATAAGTAATTGAATTCGCAAGAAAATTTTCATCACTGCATTTCAAAAAGACTTACAAAAACATTGTGCTAATAATGTAATTTGAATGCTTCCACTGTTCACCAGTTCACCATGCCCAATTATAAGACAACTATCAGTTTATCCCAAACTGCCTTTGCAGGCAGACTGCAGATTCCATAGCACTGAAAATTTTCTCTATTTTCTACCACTAAAGACATCATTTCAGGTTACAGCAGAACTTCTGTGATTATTTCCAAGTAAGTAATTAAAAAACATCCACTGTAAACATATTCTCAAATCTTCACAGACACACTACCTACACTTGCAGAAGAGAAGTCGCCTGTGCTAGCAGGGTAAATGCAGACCCAACTCAGGAAGGATAATAGAACTTGTTCAAAATCTTCAGTCATACTGAAGAAAGATTTTAAATTATTTTCCTTCACACAAATGGAATGCGTCAGCTTCTCAGAAACATATAAATTCAGTCTTCAGCCAGCAGCATGCTATGGCATTTTCTTTCACATTTAATCAACTGGACTTAAAAGCTAAGTATGTATTCTTAAGTGCTTTTCTGGATTAGGGCCTTATATTGAAGACTCATAAAAATGTTTCTGCTATTTTGATCCCAAACTTAGGCAATAAAAGAAAAAACATTTTATTTTAATGGGCTTTCTAACATGTTGCTTCTGATTTCAGAACAGATCACGCAACACAATTGGAAGAATATTTCTGAATGCAAATAGCAGTGGGGTCATGACTACACCAAAATGCAGGAAATAGTAAATACAAAATCCATTCCTTGTCAGAGAAGCCTTGGCTTGACTCCTGGAGCACCGGGCTAGCCAACTGACAGAAAGCTTACCCAGTCTGAAAGACTAGGCCTTTAATTAATTGATTACTGGACTAGGGGGGAAGTCCACAGAGGCCCTCACCTTAACATTTCTGCCAACAGCCCAGGCTTTGGCAAATGAGCTAAACACAAGAAATCCCAAATCACAACTTATTTTCCTCAGCCCTATCCTTGAAACAGGCCCCAAAAACATTGGCAAAAATCCTATATCGGCAGTAGACATCTGACTATTATTTAAAAACAGGTTTCCTCGTCCATTCCTCAACTGGAAGTGACATAAAACATAATTTGGCCTTCTGCTTAAAATAGGCCACTCCAATACCTACTACTCTAGAAGCACGGCAACTGTTGAGAAAGTTTGGATCTGGCTGTTTCATAACTGTGGCCCATTCAGGAAATGAAAAAATCTGTGCTTAAAGCTGATGGCAGCTGCCTTCCTAAAAGTTGACTTTTGTCTTACATTGCCAGCATTAAAATACAATATAATACTGTATATCATCTGCTCTTATAAAGCCAATTCAACGATCAGCATAAAACATGGATTATTTAACAAGCTAGTCATACAGGAAGATACAGAAAGACATCTTCTAAGATTTTAATTGATGGAAAGGAGTCCAAATTGCAGAATAAATTATAAAAGACACACAAAACTTGTGGCAAACAAGAGCAGTCACCAGTAATAGAGCAAGAAATGATAAATTAATAGAAAAAAAATTGCAAATTATTATAAATCCTTACATAGAAGACTGGCCTTATTTTACTGTGTTTCTTTTGGAGACAAAAGTTGCAGGATTTCCTTAATGAACGCTCCTGCCTGTCTGACTGACAATATTTTGGAAGTCAGTAGTACCGTTCATATCCCAAAGAAGACCAAGCATTTGATCTTCTTTAATTAACTGATGCAATAAACCTAGAAAACCCCACAAATTCAGGACAAGTTGCATGCTCCCTTTTGAAATGATCTTGTTGCAAGTTGTTTTAAAGCAGTGAAAATCCAGGCAGCCATAAGAAAATGATGCTTCAGGTGTATTATTCAGAGGGTCAACACAACATTTCAAGTCTTGTTCAGATTTCTGCTTTGGGATCAATGGAATCCAGTTGTGCTTCTTTGTTCAGCACTTGATACTGAGAAGAGCTAATTAACTTGCTATTTTTGAATCTGGGTCTCACCTACTTGGCACTGAGTGATCACAGAGGTCAACCACCCACTGCTGTTACATCCATCAAAGGATTCAAAATTATACAGCACAAAGCTCTTCCCAGTTTAAACCAGGAAGATGAAGAGAAGAAAATTACCTGCTGGTGAATTTCATAGCTTTTGTTTGTTTTATATTTTCACAAGACAGGGACTGATATTGACTAGAGAGGTGACTCTCTGAAGACAGCATATATCTAAAATACCTGAAGTGGAAAACAAACACAGTTTGCGAAATTCAGCTGGAGGAAGCATGAAGGGCCACAGTAAGTCACAGTTTGATAGCAATCTGTATTAAACTGTAATACTATGAAGTTTAAAGAATGTGAGTGACCCACACAGCTCACCTCTGGAGCCACATGACTGTTCATTCTCACTCCTGTCAGCATTGCTGGTTTTGCTCTACTGCTTGTCTCACACAGTAGTAAAATGTTCATGGGCTGGACAGCTGCATAGAGCAGCCCTCACACACACTGCAAAGCGCACAGACTGTCTCAGTACTGAAACCCCATTTTCCAACGAGAAAGGGAGCACAGCTCAGATGATTTCTGAGGAGGCTGAAAGTATGGTCCCACCTCTGTGTTTCCCACCCAGCCATGGCTCACTACTCTGCTTGGCTCTGCACACCCCACCACCTCGCAAAAAAAAAATAAAAATAAAAATAAAAATCCTTCCTTTTCAATGTAACCCACCAAACAGTGCAGACCCACAAACAGCCATCCTGACCCAGCTGGAGGAAGAGCCAGCCACAGCCTGGGAGCAGCTGCCAGGGACTGCGGAGACAGAAATATCCTCCTGCCCCTTTGCCACAGAGGCCATCTGAATACATCCTTGGGCTCTCCTCTAGGTACTTCCACGCCTTCAGCCTCGTGTGCCAAGACGCATTCTGTGACACCAGACTTATCACCTGGTTTGTTGCAGTGGAAGTTGCAACAGCAGCCAAAGGGACCCCCAAAGGCTTGGGTTTCCCAGGGCCAGGCAGCGAGGAGCTGCTGCAGCTGCTGTTTGTGCTGAGCTGCATAGGACAACCTGGCAGCCATCGCCCTCCCAGCACCAAGCCAGGCTGTGACTCCTGGCCACCACCACACCAAGGCTGTGCTCCCAGGCACACTCCCCTGCAACCTGAAAGGCCTCTATCCTGCTGCCCGCGGAAGGCAGCTGCCTACCCACCCTCCCAGCAGCACTCCCTGGTCACCAAGCTGCCTGGCTGCATCTGTGTTTGGATGGTTTCTTGAGCTGTGCAGGCACAAGGTGCGAGGAAAGGGCCAGAGCAGGGGCAAGGAGGGCGCTGCAGGGAGCAGGGACAAGGCGAGCTTGCTGAGAGGGCTGAAGTTGCGTGGCACTGCCACCCAGCCTTTCCAAAACAATGGTGAGTCGGCGGGCAGAAGGACAGATGTGTTTCACAAGCACTTGAGGTGTACTAGTATAAGTTCCTCTACCCCTCCTTGGGGGTTAAATTGCACCAATATAATGTAAACAAATGCATTAGTTTATAGCAGTAGTATAGTAGTAGTTTATAGCAGTATCAAACCTCAGATTGTCCCACCCCAACCAGGCTGGTAAAAAATTTATAAGTGCAGTCTGACCTCAGCAATGCAGCCTAACGTGACTGACACCACGGTCACAACAGCCTACACTGTATGTGACAGAGTCACTCATCACCTCTGTGTAATCCCCAGCACTACATGGCAGCTACAAAACCACTTTTATAATGAAAACATGTTATTTTTTGACACCGCAGGGCTGGCACCAAGGCACAGCCATGGCTGTTTACCAAGTTCCAGACCATTACACCTGAAGCCACTGAAGGCTGGGAGGTGAGCGTCTGCCCTGTCACAGTTGCTATTTCATCATTATCAGCAACACTGAAGAGGGCTGAACTCAATTCTCATCACTGAGACTTAATAATTAGGAAAAAACAGAAGCACCCATTTCATTAGCAACCCAAGGATATTTGATTTGGAAACAGTGACAACAGTATATTACACCACCAATGGGTTTTAAAAAACCCTTTTTCTGACTTGCATTTATCAACATGCAGCACAACACCGCTCAGCTTCTGTCCTGGGGAAAAGAACAGTAAGAACCCACTGAAACTGTTTTTAGATGCCTCCTTCTGTTCCCATACGATTTACAGAGGGAACTGCACAACTCAGAACGGCGCGCACCTGCACTAGGGCAGAGACGCAAAGCATTGCCAGCCAGAGGATAGGATAGAGACAAGTGCTTAATAAATCCTGCCCTTCTTGAGGCTTAAGCACTTTACTTAGAACTATGGCAGCTCAAAGAGGCCTCTTCTTTCAGGACTGGCAGAAAGTGCAACCAGGTCTCAAAAACCGAGGTAAAATGTTAGAGATGAGAACATAAAGCAAAAGAACTGGTAATTCAAAGCATACAGACTGGATCACAAGGGTTCATCTAGTATACATGTTACACAGAAATATGTTTACATATTACAAGAATCAGGGAAGCTTTAAACAATAGTCAATAAAGCCAGTCTCAAATGAAAGTCTGCAATGCGCAAAAAACTGGATTACCCAGCTTGGACCTACCACCTCCCCGGATAGCACCCAAAAGCCTATAGATTGGCTTGCTGGGGGACACATGTGTGGGGACCCACCTTTTCAGCTGACATGGTGCTACTGAGTGAAAAACAAATTTAAGATCAACTGAGCCACGAAAAGGCAGGATGAAGGAATGACTTACTTAGGAAAAGAAGTAGGAAGGATATTGCACATAGTTTATAGAGATTTTCCTCCTGGAAAGGTTTCACTCAGCTTTGGCAAATATGACCAGATAGATCCATGCTGATGGACACTGTAGATGGGATACAGCAGTCCAGCATGGTATGTACCATCCTGTTTGTAACATCAGTCATGTTCAGAGTTGTGCTGACAGCAATATGAAGGCATTAACCTTCTCTTCTTACTGCTGCCGCCTTCCCCTGACACACTGTCCTGTACCACAACCCCACTTTAAAGACAGTACTAGAAATCGAGGATAATTCTGGCCCCATGACCATTAAAACCTCTTTTCTACTGTCTCTGGGCACCTCCCATTGCAGTTATGCAGCGGTGAACAAGAACTCCTTGGGACAACAGAGGAGTGACATGCTGCAGCTGTCCGGCCCCTGAGGTTGTCCACAAACGAAGTGGCCATGATGTACACAAAGTTTCACTGGTCCCGGAGGGACCTATGCTTTTATGTTCCAACATCATTTTTGAAAACTGGGACCTAGGCATATAAATCATTTAGATGTTTTTGAAAAAGTTACTTGCAGCGCAGAGTGGAGTACTGTGCGCACTGTCCAACTGCGAGTATGCATGGACAGACACATGTTTACTGAGACATGCTTTCCTTTATGAGCTGCAGAAACTTTAAACTGCCTGCCTTCTACTCTTTTAAAACTACTACATGACTTTTTGCTGTCCACTTAAGTAGTCAAAAATTGGGGCAGGGGGGAAGGTAACAATTATCTGCTCCCTGTCCCTACAACATTAAAAAAAAAAAAAAAAAAAGTGAAGGTGGAGCTCAGAGACAAATGTCTTTCTCCAGTATGGTTCTGCATGATTCTTGTGTTTTCTTCCTGTTACTGGTTACTTCCAGGGACAACACACTTCAGCACATTCTCTATTGGGTAATTTCTGTGCCCCTGACCTCGTAACACCCAAGAAAGCCTCAGCATTTGTCCCTTATCAAGCCATGAAATGATTAAGGAAACTTAGGTTCAAATATAACCTAACCTATTTGCTGCTTATGATGTTTTTTAACAATACTATATAAGCCTGTTACTACTTTAAATAAAGGTTGTTACATCATAATATAAACTCATCAAAGAAAAGACTGTACACTGATTTCACAACTTCAGAACATATTCTTTATTAAAAAAAAACAATGATGCTGCATCGTTAAACTCATTTTAGCCTCATACGAGTATGAACTTCTCTTATAGGTAACACCGCAATTCCTCTGGGAGGTTCAAAATACACCAAAGCTCTAAAAGCTGGCCACTTCATTTTGGTACCAAGAAAAGGAATTTGTGGTTCAACTTCAGGTGTTCACAACTTAAAACACTAGCTCCTTTTTAGTGTACAAGCAAATAGTGCATATTTTGAAAATTATATTCATAAATAGAAATATTCACAAGGATTATTCCACTGTAAACGTATTTCTTACATCAGCAAGTATATCAGAAATGGATACATTAGATATGTTGCTACAGCATGATCTGTGTGACATACCACCCGGTCTCACAACTTTATCTATACTAGCAGAGCTCTGTATCTGAATCACACACATTTAATCTTTAAACTGGGGGGGAAAAAAAAAGAAAAAAAAAAGGCTTCAGTCAACATCGTGATAAAAAGAAGTGAAAATTTACTAGACCCAGAGGCGTTTTCCTTTACACGTTACCCCTAACCGTTGCAAACCTCATGGCATTCAAATAGCACTACCACAAAATCACCGTGCGATGTCCTGCTCCTAGCGTGGACAATCCTTTTTGCTGGAAGCCTTTCATGGCTACTAGAATACAAGCAGCTACGTGTATAAAATGACTCAAGTCCACATCTGCAGAAGCACAGGGAGGGTTATCAGCACCGAAACCAGAACATCAAATCACTGGCAAAACAGCCCCCTGCAGCCTGAGGTTTACTCTTTGCCACCAGTCCAACAGAGCTGTTCTGTCCCCAGGTCGCCTGGACTTTCGGACGACGTCTGATGCCTTTTACCAGTGTGCTCAAATGCCGCTCCTGACGCGGCGAGCGCCACGCGAACCGCTGGAAGAAGCAACGCTCCAGCGGGATGCCGCGCTCCGGAGAGCTGGCCGCTCACCGCCCACCGCCCACTCCCTACGGAGGCGCCGCTCCTCTCTCGGGCCGAGGGGACTTTGGCCCGCCTGAGGAAGACGAGGGTCAGCCCTAACGACTCCTGCGCCGCCAGCAGCCGCCCT